CCCCAAAACCCCAAAACCCCAAAACCCCAAAACCCCAAAACCCCATCAAGTCAACTTTAATAAAAATAAGAGTAAGTTAATTTTAATATAAACAGCATTAGTAAAATGAAACATCCCAGTCCCTCAAACAGAACTTCTAAGATTAGCACCAAGTACTCAATTGACCAGAAGGTGCTTACTAATAGTAATTTCAAATCTCCAATGAATACTAATCATGTATCATTTGAGAATTCTCCAAGAGACTACAGAGGGTAGCCAAGCACAAATATAAGTTATGCAGATGAGGATTACCAAAGGAAACCAAAATAACAACGTATGAGCTCTGAAAATAACCGGGCAAAAACTTAGCTCAAGACTATTTAAGCTAGTGAACAGCCTAATATAAATAAAGCTGCTTAACTTGAGTACAATACAATGACCCAGTTTATTAAGAATAAATAAATTCACAGTTTAAACACTAGTATTGAGATAGGAGCTAGGACATTAAGAAATGATTCGGTCCAAAGCTCATATAAAAATTAAGACTCAATGATCTTACCACCAAATAAAGACTACAAGCAGGAATACTAGAAGAATATAGAGTCAATAGTCTATAAGTATAGCTATCAGGGTGGCAAACGAAATTCTTCTGTTGATGTAGATACTATCATTCAAGCCCAAAGACAAAGAAAGAGAGATGCACTCACTAATAATAATGCTGGACAAATCCTCTAAGAATCTATGAGACTTAATTATGATAAATTTAACAATGAAATGGACACTCTCTTGCATGATTCAACCAAGAAAAGTCTAAGACCTTCAGCAGTCTAAAATAATTTGGTTCTCCCAAGTATCTCCCCATTTTATCCAAATTAACTGGGATCACCATCGAATAAAAAATCTCTTATTTTTAAGGCTCAAAACTTTGAAGAAAATGGCTCTTTAGACATTTCTACAAAAGAACTAGACCCGCAGCTGCTAGGACAATTTAAAGCTTTGAAAAATCATGATCTTGATAGATTCAAAGCACTTCAAAAAAAGCAGTTGGAATTTAATATTGATGATCTAAGATTGAGTGAAGATGAAAAGGAAGTTCAGGACGAGGAGTTTTATGAAACACAGTCATTTGTCAATGAGATTCAAGAGGAGATAATGGCCATTGAGAATGACATTAACAATGAGCATGAGAAGTAATCTAATTTGGATAAAGTTTAAGACACTTTCCAGAGAATGAAGGAGTTTTGCATTCAGTAATTGAATTACTCTTATAGAGATGCTAACTCACACATTGAGAAGCTTCTTAAAAAGAGCGAAACAGAAGTCTCTCCACTTTTGAAATTTTACAATGAACTGGCTAAAAATACCAGATTTAGAATGCCTTTGAAAAGCTTATTGGAGTTTGATGCCAAAATGTTTCAAAGGCATCTTTAAAAATTCAAAAAAGCTCATGCAGTTGAAGTTAGATGGATTAAGAAATCTTCAAAAGAAAAAGCTGAGGAGATGCTCAGAAAGGATTATGAGAGAACATAGAAAATTTTGAAAGATGAGCTAACTATAATAGTAGACTAATTTAATGAACTAAAGCTTACCCTCCATGATACTGAGGATGAATTAAAGAGAGCTTATGACACAATTAACAAACAGGAGATTTCAATTATGGAGTTAAGAGAGTATGCTACTCATACAGACTAAGTGATGAGCAATGATGATAATTTCTTAGGCGAGTTAAATATGGGTCCAGGTGAAAATGGTGGTAAAGTTACTGACTAAATTAATAAGCTGAGAGAAAGACAGATGATGATTGGAGTTGGAACAGCGAGGCCAATTCACAAAGAACAACTATTGGACAAACCCTTTGGATTCTACTCGACTTATTTATATTTGTCATAGCCTGAAAAGGAAACCATTATGGAGCATGAGTTGGTAGAGTATTACAAATCAATCTCAGTCGACTTTGAAGATTAAGTCCAGCTTAAAATGAATGAAATCGAGGCATAAAACGTGGCTATGGAATAATTGGTTCAAGCCGAGAAGCATTTGTAGAAGAAAATTGAAAAGCTTAATAACCATATTGAGAGACTTAATGAAATGCATGAGAGAGAAATGAGCAGGTCAACTACTTCTTATCAAGAGATCATTTATAATTAGCAGAGATAGATTAAAGTTATGGATACTGAGTAAGAATTATAAGACTTAATACTTTTTATAGGATTGATAATCTAAAGAAGATGTTCGGTGCTGAGGTTACCATCTAAGAAAAGGTCATTTAAAAGCTTTTGAAAGTTAAACAAGAAAATGAAGATATGATTGGGACACTTACTTTGACTCTGAGAATCCCAAGACTATATCACAAATTCATTGATACTATGGGAATTCATGAGTTCGTATAGAGATGCATGGATATTGAGCAGAAGGAAGATCTGAAGAAATACCAAAATGAGGAAGGCAAAAGAAGAATGAAGGAACGCCAGGAATAAAGTCTCCAGAAGTATGTGCAAAAGATGGTCAGAGATAGCTATAGTAAAGCTAACTCTATGATAAGAGACCCTAAGACAAAGCAGTTTAAACCTGGACAATCACAATTCTAATTCTAGGCTCACAAAGGATCCATGAATGATCTTTCTCCAAGATCTTTGAAAGCTGCAGAAAGTGAGGTTTATGTCGACTATAGTAACTTTGGATAAAAACTGCAAATTATGCAAGCCAAAAGACAAAACTAAAGTTTCGTAGGTGTCAATACAATGGGCTTTGAATCTCGAACTACTATGGTTAGTCCTAGCAATGTAAGTTTCCAAAAGAATGTCACAACCAATATGCTTGCTCAAAACAGTTCAACGATTATCAAGATGGAAAGCCACAATAATATCAACCCTATAAACAGTAACAAGAACTCAGTTCCTCAGCTTCAATGAAGCATAATAATGCAAGCCTGATTAATACCTAAATTTTAATATTTTTGGGATATAAATATATAAGATTATAAGTATTATTATATAAACAAAACTTTAAAATGCCGATTTACTATGGCCTCGTAGCAAAGAGGACAAATATTGTCCTAGCTGAATTTACTGACTACAATGGTAACTTCCAGCAAATTACAATGCAGCTAATGCAAAGAGTCGAAGCAGACACCAAAAAGACCTTCGAGCTAGAGGACTTCTTATTCCATTACATTAATGAAGACGGAATAACTGTGATGTGCATGACAGACAAAGCTATTTAAAAGAAAATCGCATTTGCCTTCCTTCAAGATGTCAGAAAAACTTTGATTTAGCAATACTCACCAAGGGAACTAGAAAATGCTAAAGCTTATGGTCTCTCTACATTCACGGAAAGAATCAAAGAAAAACTGGTAAGTTAAATATCCAATCAATCATTAATTGCAATCCAAGTTTTGACTTTTGCTCAGTTGATTTCTTATTTAAACTATTACATCATCATATGAATCTGACCTTCTTACAAATATTTATAGGTGTATTATAATGATAATCCAATCACAATAAACGATAAGACTGACGAGTTACTGAGAGAACTCAATGGTCTCAAGGATGCTATGGTTGAGAATCTAGATAAGCTTATTGAAAGAGATGGTAAAATTGAAGTCATTTTGCAAAAGGCTGAATCTCTATCAGTATACTCAAAGACTTATAGAGCTAATGTAAGTTTTAATTTAGTTTTATAATATCATTGATACTTCATATGAATGAGTTCCGATAATAATAATCAATAGGCAAGAAAAGCCAAGAACAAGATGAGAAACAGAAGAATCTTCTACGTTTTCATGTTAATCCTTATTCTAGCTGTAAGATAATTGCAATTTATAATTATTAGCTTGTTGGATTCTTTATCGCTGTCATATCGTGTGGAGGATTTGGGTTTAGCAAGTGCTGAATAAGCAACATACTCATAAGTACTTGAAAAATCGATTTGAATGCTATTATTCCTTAACTAAATCAAATATAGTTAGTTAATTTTATATAAACCAGTCTAATTCCTACTGCTTCAATTTTTTGTCCTCATGGGGTTTTGGGGTTTTGGGGAGATCGGAAGAG